ACAACAATGGCCCAAACCGAGCTAAGCAGCATTGTGGTCGGTCACTGACGGAAGTTTAATAATAGGAATTTTCATTATAACAAAAACAGAACATATATATATTAAAAAAAAAAAAAAAAAAAAAAAAAAAAAAAAAAAAAAAAAAAAAAAAAAAAAAAAAAAAAAAAAAAAAAAAAAAAAAAAAAAAAAAAAAAAAAAAAAAAAAAAAAAAAAAAAAAAAAAAAAAAAAAAAAAAAAAAAAAAAACGCCCCCTGCGCCGGCAGCGGGCGTCTTCGCACTGGCGCTCGAGCTCCGCGGCCCCGACGAGGCGCAGCCCCATCGTCGTCCTCACCCGCATCCAGCAACTGCCGGGGGGTTGGATGTGTGTCATCCTCGCCCTCCCTCGCTGTTCCTGCGTCCCCCCTCCCTGCGTATCCATCCGATGCACCATGCCAGGCTCCACCATCCTCCTGCTACTCCTCGTCATCCCTCTCCTCGGCCTCCTCCTCCTCCTCCTCCTCCTCCTCCTCCTCCTCCTCCTCCTCCTCCTCCTCCTCCTGCTCCGCCGCATACTCATCATCCTCCTAATCCCCCTCCTTCCTGTCCTCCCAACCCCCCTCCCTCCTCACTACCCAGGATCACCACTGCCCACTCGCTTATTCGTCCTCACAGTTTCGGCATCCCACGTTCCCGCATCCAACCCCCGTTAATTCATGATGTTCAGTCTTCGGTATTTACCCTCCCCTGGCCCCTCATCATCCTCCTCCCTCCCTCCATCCCTCTTCTTTCTTTCTTTCTTTCTTTCGCTAAGCCTAGAACACGAACAGTGTTGGCCGATTGTACATGCCACGGTTGAAATACAGAGCTGCGCGGTCAACGGGATGGAGAAAGCTGACGGAAGCAAGAACTACATTCATCCCTTCATCCCTCCATCCCTCCATTCCTCCCTCCATTCCTACATGGAGCAAGCTGACGAAAGCTCCCTCCCTTCCTCCCTCCATCCCTCCGTCCCTCCATCCCTCCTCGTCAGCCTAGCCCTACGTTCATCCCTCGCTCCCCCGTTGCCTCTCCCCTCTTCCTCACCATCCTCATCCACCATCCTTCTCCCAACCTTCCTTCAACATCGCCCCCGCCACTCAGCACATAACTCCCAACCCCCATACTCCGTGCCAGTATCCTCTTCCATCCTCCCCCCCCTTCCGTCTCCACATCCTCATACTCCTCCTACTCCTCATCATTCTCCGCATCCGCCTGCTCCTGGGCACCATCACCACCAACAGCTTCGCCAGTACCCTCACCGACATCAGCGTGGTCAGCGTACTGATCTTAAACATCATCATCATCATCATCATCATCATCATCATCATCATCATCATCATCAGCAGCAGCAGCAGCATCATCATCCTCCTTATCATCATCAGCATGAGCATCAGCGTCATCATCATCATCATCATCATCATCATCATCACCATCATCAGCATCAGCATCAGCAGCAGCATCGTCACCATCATCATCATCATCATCATCATCATCATCATCATCATCATCATCGTCATCATCATCATCATCATCATCATCATCATCATCATCATCATCATCATCATCGGCGTCATCATCATCATCAACATCATCATTATCATCATCATCATCATCATCAACACCATCATCATCAGCAGCAGCATCATCATCAGCATCACCATCATCATCAGCATCATCGTCAGCAGCATCGTGATCATTAGCATCATCAGCATCAGCAGCATCATCAGCAGCGTCATCAGCATCATCATCATCATCATCATCATCAGCAACATCATCAGTATCAGCATCATCGTCATGCTCATCATCATCATCATCATCATCATCATCATCATCATCATTATCATCATCATCATCATCATCATCATCATCATAATCATCTGTATCGTGATCATGATCATCATCAGCATCAGCATCATCAGCATCACCATCAGCATGAGCATCAGCGTCATTATCATCGTCAGTATCATCATCATCATTAGCAGCAGCATCAGCATAATCATCAGCATAATCAGCATCATCATCATCATCATCATCATCAGCATCAGTATCGTCAACAGCATCATCAGCAGAAGCATCATCAACAGTTGCATCAGTATCATCATCAGAATCACCACCATCATCATCATCAGCATCAGCACCATGAGCAGCATCATAATCAACAACAGCATCATCAACAGCATCATAATCATCAACAACCTCAGCATTGGAATCAGCATCATCGGCAGCCTCTACATTATCATAATCGTCAGCATCATCATCCGCATCATCAGCATCACCATCAGCATGAACGTCAACGTCAACAGCATCGTCATCACCATCATCATCAGCATGCCCATCATCATCACAATCAGCAGCATCCTCAGCATCATCATCATCATCATCAGCAGCAGAATGATCATCATCGTCGACAGCATCAACATCGGCAGCATTCCCATCGTCGACATAATCGCTATCAGCAGCAGCAGCGGCATCAACATCATCATCGCCGCCATCAACACCACCACGGTCATGTCCAGGCTCTAGCACCATTCCGTACCATCTTATGTGTCAGCATCGTCGTTATCATAGCCAGCACTATCATCACCACGCCATCACCACCCCCATCGCCATCATCATCATTAGCGTCCGAAGGATCAACCGCATCTCCACCAGCACCACCACCACCCCCGCCACCACCATCATCAACATCAGCAGCAGCATCGCAGTCGGTGTCATCGGCATCATCATCATCAGCATCATCAACATCACCAGTCTCATCATCATCATTATCAGCAGCAGCAGCAGCATCATCACCACCAGCATCAGCAACATCATCATCATCAGCATCACTAGTAGCGTCATCATCATCAGCCTCATCATCATCATGAGTAGCAGCAGCAGCATCAGCATCATCAGCGGCAGCATCGACATCGTCATCGTCATCAGCATCATCATCATCAACAGCATAATTATCATCACCATCATCATCATCATCAACAACAACATACACATCATCATCATGTCCATCATCATCACAACCACCTCCATTGTCGCCGCCGTGAACATCGTCATCATCAGCAGTATCGGCAGCGATTCCTCTACATCATCATCAACAACAGCCGTAGTATCATCATACGTGTCCTGATCATCCTCATGAGCATCATCACCATCAGCATCATCATCATCGGCATCATGATAATGATGAGCAGCATTGTCGTCGTCATCGCCATCGCCATTATCATCGCCGTAATCACCATAGTCGGCGTAGTCACCGTCACCGTCACCGTCATCATAGTCAGCGGCATCATCACGATTGTCGCCACGACCATCACCATCACGTTCGTCCTCATCGTGATCGTTCTCCCCATCCTCCAGATCCTGATCATATTCCTCCTAATCCTTAGTATCATCACCCACGCTCCCCGCATCACCCTCCTGTCTCGTCCCTCCTCCTCCACCTTTTCTCCTCCCCTCCACCTCCTCCTCCTCTTTCTCCTCCTCCTCCCCCTCCTCCTCCTCCGCCTCCTCCTCGTCCTCAACCTAAACTTCGTCCTCTTCATCCTCCACCAGCCTCCTCATTCCCCACCTCCTCGACTATCCCTCCGCCTCCTGTATTATCCTCCCTCCCTCCTCCCTTGTGCTCCGCTACCCTCTCCTCTCCCCTTCTTTGCCTCTTCCTCCACCTCCTCCTCCTCCTCCTCCTCCCTCCTCCTCCTCCTCATCCTCCTCCTCCTCATCCCTCGCCGTCCTGCTCCTGATCATCGTCATCGTCATCGTTACAATCCGATCATCATCACCATCAGCATTGCAATCTCCATCACCATCATCATAACCATCATCATCATCATCATCATCATCATCATCATCATCATCATCATCATCATCATCAACATCAACATCAACATCATCATCATCATCAGCATCATCATCATCACAGCATCATAAGTATCATCATCAGCATCATCAGCATCAGCAGCAGCATCATAATCATCGTCATCATCATCATCATCATCAGCATCAGCAGCAGCATCATCATCGTCCTCGTAATCGTCATCGTCAAAGTCAGCGTCATCATCATCTCCCCCTCCACGTCCCCTGGCCACCATCAGCCTCGTGCCTCCCTGCGGGTGAGTCGCAAGCAGTGCATTTGGCCGGAATACGGCTCCAGCGAGAGGTGCGCGATGGGCGAGGCTGCTCGCACATATCTGTGCGCCCTGGCGGTGTCTTCGATCGCTCGGCAGGCGGTGCTCTCGGCCCCCCCCCCTTGCCAACGCCGAAGATGGTGCTGGACTGCCCGGACCTCCGACGGACTCGCTTCTGTCAGTCCATGATACCCTGAAGTCCCGACCGCTTCCCAGGGACCTGTTTCCCATCCCGGATCGGTTTTGCTGACGGCCCCTGGGCCCGAAGACAAGGCAGCGGGGCTGCAACCGCAGCAAAAGCAAGTGTCGGAGGTCTGGCTGCGGGTCATGCGCCAGAGAACCTGGGCCCAGAGCGGAACCCCAGGAGCTCGCGCAACTGACGCGGGCACACAGACGCCGCACAGAGGTGCTGGAAAAGTTGGCATTGGAAGTCACTCGACTCGGGGCACGCTCCGAGCGCGCGAGGGGTTAGGAAGAGGAAAGAGGACCAGGGAACAGGGAGGAAAGATGCGGGTGGGGAGATGGAGGGGGCGGAGGAATAGGAGGAGGAGGCAGAAGGCAGGAGACACGAGACGGAAGGGAGGGAGGGAGGGGAGGGGCCAGAGGAGGAGGAGGAGGAGGGGGGCAAAAGGACGAGGACGACGACGACGACGACAACGACGACGACGACGACGACGACGACGACGACGACGACGACGACGACGCAGGAGGCAGGAGGCAGGAGGCGGGAGGAGGACAGGGAGAGAGCGAGGCGTGAGGGAGGAAGAAGAGCAGGAGCAGGAGCAGAGGAAGGAAGAGGGACGGGAAGACGGAGAGGAGCAGGGCAGAGAGCAGCACGAGGAGGGCCACAGGACCAGGCCCTCACATGCGCTGCTGGCCCGGGCCGCCCTGCAGGATGCCGTTGCGGATCTGGCCGGAGATCTCCTGCGCGCGAGCCCCCACGCGGCCCGCCGCCGCCGCCGCCGCCCGCCGCAGCCGCCGCCGTCGTGGAGAAGGAGGAGGGCCAAAGTAAACCCAAGATTCGCCAACGATGTTAGGCTACAACCTCCCTCCAAGCTCCCTCTCCACAGGCCCCTACATGAGTTCAAATCTACTAAAAGAATTGCCCCGTTGGGTGACAACCGTGTGAAAATCCTGAGGCGTGCCAAAATACCATTCTCAGGATTTCAACGCCACGAGTTAACTTGACTGTTACGTCATGGCGATCCGAAATCGTGCCAGAACACCACTCATGGGACTCAAGCACAGCGAAGCAACGAAACTGTTGCGCCCTGACAATCCTGAATCGCTCTAAAAAAATCTGGTGCGTTGAGAACACATGAAACTCTTGCAAATGTTAAAAAGTAATGTGCGCGGCGCTAAAGCGAGAACCACATGTTGAAAACGACCTGTCTTCAGTCCGTGAAACTCTTGTAAAGTTGAAGACGAATGCGTGCGGCGCCAAGGCGAGAGCCATTTTTTGAAAACCACCAGCCCTTGATCTGTGAAACAGCTGCAGGGTCTGAAGTTCAGGATCACAAACGGTGAGGATGTCTCAGGAGGAACGCCCAGCCCGCCCTTTCGACTGGCCTTGGGGTGCGACAGGGAGGACTTATCTCTAAGGAAACCGAATGGAGGAGGAAGAAAAGGAGGGGAGGAGGAGGAGAAGGATGGGGAGGAGGGAGAGGAGAGGGGAGGAGGAAGAGGGAGGAGGTGGAGGAGGAGGAGGAGGAGTTATGGGAGCTATGGGCTCAACGACGCCGAATGTCGAGAACGAAACGGATTAGCGCTGCAAATCCACGAGGGCTGCAGCTCGCACCGACTTCGGCGGTCCGTTCGGGTGGGGGCATTTGCCCTTCAGAATACGTTCTAAATTCTGGTTCCCCTTGGCAGTGGGGGCTCGCACACAGAAAGCAGGTGCCGTGGGTCAGTCGTAGCTGTACGACCGCACCTGGAACAGAAAGTTTCAATCTATTGCCCCAGTGCTGTAAGCTAAATGTGAGCTGTGCAAAAGCCTGCCTCCCAGCACTCGCCGACCGACGAGGGGAGCTACACCGAGCTGGGGGGCGGACTTGGGGACACACCGCCTGGGCTGCCAGGAGGATGCGCTCACGATCCACAAACACTCTACAGCCTCTGCAACAAAACTTGGCGCCGACCCGCCGCCAGTCGTGCTGAGACGCACTCAGGGCAAGCTCTAGCCTGGGCATCCGGACGGGGCGTGGGGCCGAGGGGCGAGCCGCGGTCCACGGGTCGGCTATGACTGAGTCCGCCAGCGCTCGACGCGCCCGCGCTCCCACGAGGGAGGCCTGGGTGCCGGCGCTGGTCGGTGGGGCATCTATGACGGATTCGGACAACGCAGCGGCCGCCGCTCTGGCGGCCAGCTCATCTGTACAGTCATTTTTCACCTCCCAGGGGAAAAAAACAAAAAACAAAAAACAAAAAAAACAAAAAACTGAACGCAGCACCCTGAACGCAGCAAATCCTTCAACGGCTGCAGAAAGTCATCGCGAAGCGCGAGGAGCGAAGAAACCCAGGGTACCCTGACGAAAAAAGCGGATGGTTTCTTGATGCGCGCCCCCACAGTATGACCAGACACAAACCGCAGTGGCCCTCTGGAGCACTCGAGGGCTCAGGTCGGGCGCGTTCCCCCTTACAGGGGGGCCTGTGGGGCGAAAAATTAGATACATGGCCAAACTATACTCCAGCAACATATGCAAGAACAGTCCACAACATCGTCCCCCTCACTGTTTTCGCTTCGACTGCTTCTGAAGATATACTCCTCCTGCAGAGGGGCACGCCCGCCTTCGCCGAGGGCCTCGGCGAACGCCGCGAGCCCCGCACGGGGGGGCCGCCGCTCGCCCCGCCGCTCGCCGCGCGCCCCCCCGCGGCGCGGCCGCCGGGGCTGCCCGCAGGCGGGGGCCCCGGGACACCCGCCGAGGGGGGGCCGCCGAAGGGGGGCGCTCCGCGAGCCAGCGCGTCGCCTGCGCTGCAGGCGGGCGCGTCCCCCTGCAGGCGGATCTGGGAGAGATTTATATATATATATATATATATATATATACATATATACATACATACATACATACGTACGTACGTACGTAACGTACGTACTACATACATACATACATACATACTACATACATACATACATACATACAACATAAACATACATACATACATACATACATTATACATACATAAATACATGCATGCATGCATGCATGCATGCATCCATGCAAATATATATATAATATATATATAACTGGGGCCTCCTGGGGCCTCCTGGGGCTTCAGAACTACATGCACACAGAGACACAAATCACGCCCAACACATCACACGCTAGACAAACATAACACACACACACACACACACCTACAACACACAAAAAGCACGCACCACACGAAGCATACATCACAAACACACACACACACACACACACACACACACACACACACACGCACAACACTCACAATCCTGGGGCCTCCTGGAGCCTCTTCTGGTATCCAAGTCGGGCCTCCTAAGGCTTCCTGGGGGCCCTGGTACACACATCGCAAGGTGTGGCAACCCCACTTGCGCTCGAGTGCGACTTCGATGTTGCATGTCACTCCTGTTTCAAACGCCCCTTCAGTTTTTTGTATGAGCCTGGGCACACACGTGCCACTTGTATATGTATGTATGTATGTATGTATATATATACATACATATATACATATATATATATATATATATATATAATGCTCAAGAGTAGCCCCCAAACAAAAGCTCAAAAAAACGTCCCCCGACGGTGTTTGGCCCAGTTTTGGGTGTGCCTCCTGCAGAGGGGCGTGCCCGACTTCAGCTTAAGTCGGGCGTGTCCCCCTACAGGCGGATCTGGGAAGCAAAATTAAGATTATGCCACATACTTCGTTGAATCACTTGTGTTCGCATAGCCGACGTGCAACATGTGGACAACGCTCGCAGCCGCCACCCTGTTGCTACCGTCGAGAGGCGCTCACAGTAAGACCACCCCCTGCGCAACCCATATGGCGTCGAGAAAGTGCCACCCCTGCTGTGTCCTAGACGTGAGGCGCGCACAGCGGAACCACCCCCTGCACATCCCCTATGGGGTCGAGAGCATGCCACGCCTGCTGTGCCCTAGACGAGTGGGGCGCATAGCGGGACCCCCTCCTGCGCACCCCCCATGAGGTCGAGAAAGTTCCACGCCTGCTGTGCCCTGGACGAGAGGCGCGCATAGAGTAACCACCCCCTGCGCACCGCCTATGCCTATGGGGCGAGAGAATGCCACGCTTGGTGTGCCCTGGACGAGAGGAGCGCACAGCGGAACCACCCCCTGCGCACCCCGTGTGGGGTCAAGAGCACGCCACGCCAGCTGCGCCCCAAACGAGAGGCGCGCATAGGGAGACCACCCCCTGCGCACCCCCATGTGGGGTCGAGAGCACGCCACGCCTGCTGTGCCCTGGACGAGAAGCGCGCATAAGGAGACCACCCCCTGCGCACCCCCTGTGGGGTCCAGAGAATGCCACACCTGCTGTGCCCTGGACGAAAGGCGCGCATACGGAGACCACCCCCTGCACACCCCTTTATGGCGAGAGAGTGCCACACCTGTTGTGCCCCAAACGAGAGGCGCGCATAGGGAGACCACCCCCTGCGCACCCCCTTATGGGGCCGAGAGCATGCCACGCCTGCTGTACCCTGGACGAGAGGCGCGCATAGGGAGACCACCCCCTGCGCACCCCCATGTGGGGTCGAGAGCATGCCACGCCTGCTGTGCCCTGGCCGAGAGGCGCGCATACGGAGACCACCCCCTGCGCACCCCCTATGGGGTCGAGAGAATGCCACGCCTGTTGTGCCCTAGACGAGAGGCGCGCATAGGGAGACCACCCCCTGCGCATCCCCTGTGGGATCCAGAACACGCCTGCTATGCCCCGGACGAGAGGCGCGCAGAGGGAGACCACCTCCTGCGCACCCCCGATGGGGCCGAGAGAATGCCACGCCTGCTATGCCATGGACGAGAGGCGCGCAGAGGGAGACCACCTCCAGCGCACCCCCTCTGGGGCCGAGAGAATGCCACGCCTGTTGTGCCCTAGACGAGAGGCGCGCATAGGGAGACCACCCCCTGCGCATCCCCTGTGGGGTCCAGAGCACGCCTGTTGTGCCCTGGACGAGAGGCGCGCAGAGGGAGACCACCTCCTGCGCACCCCCCAAGGGGCCGAGAGAATGCCACGCCTGCTATGCCCTGGACGAGAGGCGCGCAGAGGGAGACCACCTCCTGCGCACCCCCTTCTGGGGCCGAGAGAAGGCCATGCCTGCTGTGCCCTGGACCTGTGCTGTACTGTGCTGAGCTGAGCTGTGCTGTGCAGTGCTGAGCTGAGCTGAGCTGTGCTGAGCAGTGCTGTGCTGTGCTGTGCTGAGCTGGGCTGTGCTGTGCTGAGCTGAGCTGTGCTGAGCTGTGCTATGCTGTGCTGTGCTGAGCTGTGCTGAGCAGTGCTGTGCTGTGCTGAGCTGTGCTGCGCTGTGTGAGAAGGAGGAGGAGAGGGAGGGGAGGTGAGTGAGGGTCGCGGGTGCGACGCGGCAAGGAAGAAAACCAAAACCCCACGAAACATGTGGGGAAAAAGTGCGGAAAAAATATCGAAAATAGTCACATACTCCAAAAACGTCCCCCGACTGTTTCTGGGCTATTCTTGAATATTCCTCCTGTAGAGGGACGTGCCCGACTTAAGCCTACGCGGGTCGTCCGAATGCGTTCCCCTGGACCCGTCCCCCCAAAAAAATCGTGAGGTAGCCGTCTTGGCCCCCTCGGGGCCAAGGAGAAGTCACCGTAGTCTAAGCGGTGGGGCGGGAGGTCGAGGCAGAACGTGGGTGCAGTCTCAGCCCTACTCGGGAGGCCACGAAGCCAGAACGACGGACTAGCCTAGGAGGAGGAGGAGGAGGAGGAGGAGGACGACGACGACGACGACGAGAGGTCCTGCACGCCAGCCGCCGGGCTGTGCGGGATGAAGACGCTGTTGCTCTTCGAGTTGGCCCCTATCTCCTTCAGGGTCTCGAAGTGGAAGGATCGAGGGTCGATGAGGGATCGAGAGATCGAGGATGGATCGAGGAGACATCCAGGGTCGAAGAAGGATCGAGGAGGGAACGAGGAGGGAGGATCAAGGAAGGAGGATGAAGACGCTGCTGATCTTTGAACTGGCCCCGATCTCCTTCAGGGTCTCGAAGTACTGCGTGATCAGCAGCAGCTCCGATATCTTTTCGGAGGTGAGGGTCTCCTGGCTTCCAGATGTGACAGACCTCTTCAGGCCCTCTACGATGGCCTGGGCAAGGAGAACATGCAGCGTGAGCATTTCACGGCGGTGGGGAGGAGGAGGAGGAGCGACAACAATAAGGACAATGCCAGCTCCTTCGATCCTCGAAGGCAAGGCCATGTGAGGCGTTCCAAAAAGGGCCTTGCCTTCGAGGATCGGAGGAGTTGTCATCTCTTCCGCGGCGGAAGGTCGGCGGAAAGTCGGCGGAAATAAAACGAGGCCGCCCTGCTGGCGGAAGCCGGCGGAAGCTCGGCGAAGGCGGCGGAAGTAAAAAATGCGCCCCCAAGAGATGAAGTTTTTGGGTTCAGAGTTTCCGACATCGCCCATGTAGAAAGGGAGGGAGGGAAGAAGGTCGAGGTCCTCAACCGACTGACAGGTGTGCAGAACGCGTGCGCATAGTTAAAGAGTTCGCCCCCTCGAGGCCTCGCGCTGCTTCGCGATGCCCTCTCCCGACAGGCGGGCCGACTCGCACTCCGCCTCCGCCTTCTTCACCACACGGATCTTCTCGGCCTCCGGGGCTATGGAGATTCAGAATACCAGCAAAAAACAAGATCGATGACACTCAGAACAAAAATAAGAGTAAGAATGAGAACAAGAACAAAAAGAATACGAAGACCAATAACAATAAGAAGAGGAAGAAGAAGATGATGATGATGATGATGATGATGATGATGACGATGCGGATGAAAAGACGAAGAAGAATAAGAAGAAAAATGGGAAGAATAAGAAGAAGAATAAGAAGAAGAAGAAGAAGGCCAACGCTGTGGACCGTCGTCGGCGTTCAAGCTTGGGCACCCGCGGCCAGGTCGCTGCCGCGTCGGCACGGCACAAACCTACCGCAGCCGTGGGTGGGCAGCCCCCACCCGACAGCCGAGGTCGAACCCCGCCGCGAGCGGACCCTGCTGCCCAAAACAGAAGAGGAGCCCCCCCACCCCCCAGCGCTGCACCGACAGGGGGGACGAACCTCGCCCCGGTCGCGCCGCGCGCGGGACCCAAAGAATGTCGGGCGGATGAGGAGGAGGGGGAGGAGGAGGAGGAGGAGGAGGAGGAGGAGGAGGAAGGAGGAGGAGAGGGAGGAGAGGAGGGGAGGAGGAGGAGGATGAGGAGGAGAAGAAGAGGAGAGGAGGGGGAAGGAGAGAGGAGAGGAGGAGGAGGAGGAGGAGGAGGAGGAGGAGGAGAGGGAGAGAGGAGGAGGAGGAAGAGGAGGAGGGAGGAGAGAGGAGCAAGAGAGGAGGAGCAGGAGGAGGAGGAGGAGAGGAGCTGCGCCGCAGCCTCCCGCTCGCCGGCGCGCTCCGGCGACCCCCCGCGCGCTCGCTGCGCGCAGAGCGGCGGGCTCTCGAGGCGCCGCTGGCGAGCGGGAGGCTGCGGCGCAGCTCCCAGAGCAAGGCCTCCTCCTCCTCCTCCTCCTTCCTCCTCCTCCTCCTCCTCCCCCTCCCCCTCCTCCTCCTCCTCCTCCTCCTCCTCCTCCTCCTCCTCCTCCCCTCCTCCTCCTCCTCCTCCTCCTCCTCCTCCTCCTCCTCCTCCTCCCCTCCCCCCTCCTCTTCATCCTCTTCCTCCTCCTCCTCCTCCTCCTCCTCCTCCTCCTCCTCCTCCTCCTCCTCCACAATTACCAATATGAATACTATATACTACTCTCCTCCTCCCCTGATGACGGGTTGGGAGTGTTCGCCCCCCCCCACCCCGCGTACTGTTTTATTACACACAGAATTCCCCGGAGTTGGGTTTTCGCCTGCATTTGTTTCAACATGCTGCTCTCGCTAAGGCGTCGGCTTCATTTTCGGGCCCCGCTCGTTCCGAGTCGTGTGCCCGCTGCAGCGCTGGCCTCATTTCCGTGCTTCCGCTCGTTCCGAATCGTGCTCCCGCTGCAGCGCTGGCCTCATTTCCGCGCTTCCGCTCGTTCCGAATCATGCTCCCGCTGCAGCGCTGGCGTCATTTCCCGTGCCATGCCACGGCATGCAATGCAATGCTAGGTTGCGTTCCGCTGCGCGATGCCATACCTTCAGCTGAAGATGTGATGTGCAGTGCTTAAGTGCCACGTCGTGCTATGCCATGCTACGCTTTGATCTTCAACGCCATGCTATGCAATGTTATGTTCGGGGCCGCTGTGCGATGCCATGCTTTGCGTTGCAAAGCTTTGTGATGCAATTATTCACTACGCCACGCCACGCCATGCTGTGACATACTACGCTTTGCGGTGCTCGTCTACGCCATGCCATGCCGTGCTCTACAATGCATCGCGTACCCTTTCGGGATCATTGCCCTGTTCGACATCCGACTGTGCGAGTAGAGAGGGGATCTACGCCATGGTAAGGGATGGGAGGGAGGGATAGGATGTCAGATATGACGCGAGCGCACCCAGCTTGTCCTCCTCCCCCTCCCCCCTCTCCTCCTCCTCCCCTCCTCCTCCTCCTCCTCCTCCTCCTCCTCTCCTCCTCCTCCTCCTCCTCCTCTCCCTCCCTCCTCCTCTCCTCCTATCCTCCTCCTCCTCCTCCTCCTCCTCCTCCTCCTCCTCCTCCTCCACTCCTCCTCCTCCTCCGCCTCCTCCTCCTCCTCCCCTCCTCCTCCTCCTCCTCCTCCTCCTCCTCCTCCTCCTCCTCCTCCTCCTCCTCCTCAAGAGAGCTTGCTGTGAGACACATTGAGGCGCCTGCTTCATGGATTGCTAGGGGGCCCAAGGTGCCCCAGAGCTTCCGTAGGCCCCTGGGGCCGTCTGGGAAAGTCTTACTTGATGTGCCGTCTGTACCCCGCTCGACTTCGCCGCTGTTTTCTTCTTGGCCTTCGTCTGTCAAGGGGGGGGGCGCTCACCCCCCCCCCACCACCCCACGATCATTCAGAAACTTAGGCTAGCCAGTCGGGCTCAAAGATCGGCCTGCTCCTGACGAACGAGCGACCACTTCTGGGAGTGCATTGCAAGCTATCTCGATTCCCCCTTCTCTTCCTCCTCCTCCTCCTCCTTCTCCTCCTGCTGCTCCTCCTCTTTTTCCCTTCCCCTCCTCCTCTTCCTCCTGCCTTCCACCTCCTCCCTCCTCCTTGTTCCCCATTGCCTCCCCATCTCCTCCCTTATCTATCCTCTCTCCTCACGTCTCCCTTTCCCATTTCCCTCCTCTCCTCCTCCTCCCCTCATCCTCACCTCCCCCCTCCGTACTCCCTATTCCATCCCTTCCCTCCCTCCTGCGATGTCGGAGATGCGTTTCTCTATATGCGTATTCCCTTGTGCATGCCGCCGTGGTCCCGTCAACACTTGCGTTTGTGGTTCTCCTTGTGGTGCGACCGGGACATCATGCCTTTCGAAGTTGCCAGAAGCATGAAGAGTAAGCAGCAGCCAACGTCACTGCCGCGTCTTAGCCTCAGAAAAAGAATGCGATTGCCTTCGTCACCGCTGCGCCGTCTCTTCCAGAAGAAACGTGCAGCTGCCAACGTCACTGAAGAGGGGGAGACAATCGTTACCTCCTGTCTGGGTACACTTTCCTACGACAGGCTCCTCGGCTGCCGCGCCGCGTCCGCATTCTGGCTTCCCTGGCTGGCCTCCTCAGTAGCGAAGGAATGATGCAGCTAGCGGTCGTCCACCGCTGCGACCCCCAGAAGAACTGGCGTAACGGCAGCGTCGAGTAGCTCCACGCGGGCCACGGGTCGTGGCCGCGCGGAACAGCGTGCTTCAAGAAAAATAAACACCGTAACATGTGCAGCAGACATGAAAGAACGGCACAACCATGATTCAAAAAGCAGGGTCGCCAGAAAACAGCCAAACAAACACGGAAGAAAACACTACACATATGAAAAAAACAACAAGTATTATTCAAACTGACTCTATATATATATAAAATAAATAAATACATAAAAAAAAAAAAAAAAAAAAAAAAAAAAAAAAAAAAAAAAAAAAAAAAAAAAAAAAAAAAAAAAAAAAAAAGGCCGCCCCTGGTCTGACACGATCCCATGGCATGTCCGCGAGCCAGGCGTGGCCGCTCCCCCCCGCAGAGCGCGGCGCCACGTGTGCCAGCCGCCCGCCTCGAGAGAGGGGTGTCTCTCCCGCACGCTCAGCGTGCACCCGCGCCTGCTTCCGCGTGCAGCGGCAGCACGGCTGCGCGAGACACGAACACGCTGGGGCGACGAGATCTGCACGTGGCCACTGCTCCTGGCCAGGCCCATCCTGAACCCTGGAGCCGTGCATACGCCCTCCCTGGCCAGGCCGGGAGGGCGTGTGCGCAGCTCCTGGGCCCAGGATGAGCCCGGCCGGGAGCAGCGGCTGTGTACAGATCTCGTCGCCCTCCATGGCTGTCCAGAGGAGCCGGCGCAGCTTCCGCACGGCACGCTGCTTCCGCACGGAGCGGCAGCACAAGCGCACGGGAAACGGCAGCGGCTGTCGAGAGAAGTCGGCACAGCGCCCGCACCGCACAACGGTTTCCGCACGCAGCGGCAGCACGAGCGCACGGGGCACGACGACGGCTGTCCAGGGGATCCAGCTTCCGCACTGCACACTGCTTCCGCACGAAGGGCAGCACAAGCGCACGGGGAAACAACGGCAGCGGCTGTCCAGAGGAGTCAGCACAGCTTCCGCACCGCACGCACACTGCTTCCGCATGCAGCGGCAGCACAAGCGCCACGGGGTACGCCGGCGGCTGTCCAGAGGAACCCGCATGCGGCGGCTGACAGTAGATGTACTGTACACTACGGTGGAGGTTTTAGATAAGGATGCCTTGGATAAGGAGCCCAGGGTCTCGCGACAGATGGGCGGCCAAACGTGGGCCACCCACCTCGCCTTCAAAAAATAAGGAATGCGCCAGGGTCTGGGCCCCAGGAAGACGTTCCTTATCCAATGCCGCCGCCGTATCGCAGTCAAACCGCAAGCGTCATGGTGATGTGACTCACCGAGCGGTCTCCACGCGCATGTATAGACGCAGCGGGCTCAATCGATTCAGCCAGTCACCGATTCAGACGTGGCCAGCCTAGCATAAATCCCGAGAGGCCCCCAAGATGGCCCCAAGACAGTCCAAGAGGGCCCCAAGACGGCCCCAGAGGCGCCCTAGATCGTCCAAGAGGGCCTCAAGACGGCCCCAAAAGAGGGGGAACACGAACCACCAATTCGAGCCTTCCGCCCCAAGAGGCTCCCAGGAGGCCCTAAGAGGCCCCCAAGAGAGCCCAGCAGGCCCCCTAGAGGCGCCACGCGGCCCCCAAGAAGCCAAAGAAGAGGCCTCCAAACGGCCCCCAAGAGGCACCAGGAGGCCACGAACGCGCAAGCGAACGCCTGCGATGGCACAATACGGGCCAGCGGAATGAGCGAAGCGATTGAATGACCTTCGGGCGACGGATCCAGCATGAGCAACTACTCGAAACAATGATGCGGCGTGCCAGTCGGGCTCAAAGACACCATCCGCAATTGCCGCGTGACAAATTTCTACCCCCCGCGCCGCCCCGCGGACCCCCCCCCGTCGGGGAAGACCCCCCCTTCGTTCGACAAGAAGCTCAGGACGGCGTGTGGAAACAAGCATACACGTGTGGGGCCACGGAGAGGGGGAAGGGGCAAGGGGAGGGGAGGGAGAAGAAGGGAGGAGGCTATCCTGCCTCTCCTCTCGTCCTCCTCCCTCCACCTCGTCCCTCGTCCCTCACACTCCTCTGTCTCCTCCCCATCCCCCTCCGTGCGTGCTGCCTCACCGCGCACGCGCGCGAGCGATCCTCCTCCCTCCCACGGAGCACTCGCCCACATGCGCGCGGGAGACACGAGGAGGGGGAGGGAGGAGCCAGGGGCCAGATCGAGGCTCGCCTCTGCACGTGTTCGAACACTCCTTGCACCTCTGGGCCTCCGAGGGCCTCCAGAGACCCGCGGAGGCCTCTGGAGGCCTCTGGAGGAGGAGGGGGCCTCGGCGGCCATCAGCGCCGCATCGCGAAGGCGCTTCTGCTTATTAATCTCGTTCATGGAATTCATCACGTCCTGGCTGGGCTTGAGCTCCGTGACCAGAGCCTTGATAATCTGGAAACCGTACTCGTGCATGCTTCTGGTGAGCGTCTGCGCGACGGCCTGGGAGATATGGTCCTTGTTCTCAAACGCATCGTCTAGATTCATCTGCGGCACCTGCGAGCGCACCACATCCGAGACGTACGAATCGATCTGCGCGCTAACGTTGGCGAGCTTGTAGATGGCTGACTCCGCTTGCTCTGGGATGACCTGCTGCTGAACCGAGACCTTCACCAGCACGAACACATTGTCCTGGGGAAGTCGGACACACACACACACACACACACACACACACGATATCAGAGACTGCGCACCTGTAATGTCTCGGAGGACCGCACGGGTTGCCGGGCCCGCGCTGGACACGAGGCGGCGCGATGTCCAGCTGGAGCAGGTCCGGTTGAAGAGCCAAGGGGCTCAACCTGGTGGGCCTCCAGCGCCGCCCCAGAGCGGGCTGAGTCCAGCTGGAGGCCCACCAGATGGACCCCCCTTGGCTCCCGCTGAGCTCGCGCCATCTGGACTCGGCGCCGCCCGAAAGCAGGCCGAGTCCAGCTGGGGCCCCACTAGCTGGAGCACCTCGCCTCCAACTGGGCTTGCTCCAACTGGAGCACGCCTATGCTTGCGCCGGGTTACCTGAGCCCTCTTCGGGCAGAAAAGCTTAAGCACGGTCTTTCGACACCCCTCGACAGAGGAGGAGGATGAGGAGGAGGAGGAGGAGGAAAAGAAGGAGGAGGAAGAGAAGGAGAAGGAGAGATTACCAGGATTACCGCCATCACAAGAGTGACCGGTAAGGAAGGGAGAGGAAGGAGGGAGGGAGATAAGGAGGAGGGCGGAGCGAGAAAGGCGGAGGAAGAGGGCGAAGGAGGAGGAGGAGGAGGAGGAGGAGGTCCTTCGTCTTGGTTTCCACGTAGACGTCGTTCTGCTCGACGCGTTTGGTAATGGAGCGGAAGCTGACGCAGCAGCCACAGACGTCGCAACCGGCGAAGTTGAGACCAGCGCTGAGCACCTTAGTGAAGCTGCCGAAGAATTCGACTGCGAAGAGCCTGTCCTGCGGGGCGGTCGCAGTTTGCTGCTGTTGTTCCTCCTCATCCTCCCCCGCGTCCACCTCCCCCTCCTCTTCCTGTTTCATTATGTCGCTCGCTGCGCGACTGCGCACACCCTGGCCGAGAAAGGGCGGCCTTGCTTAGTGTACAGAGGCTCGGCGACTCACGCCACCACGACCGACTGGTTAAAAAGTGTCTTTCACACTTGTGCCTGGTGATGGTGTTACGTAGGATGTCTCAGAGCCCGAGGGGGC